CGTGACTCAGCCGATTTGGCTCAAGTTTTGCAACAGATCCAGGTGGCCTTGCAAAAGCTGCACTCTTGAGCATGTTGCCAAATTCACTGTTCCTTGCACGTGTGCATATAATCCTTGGTTCCCCTCCCCTCATGCTCCTTGCAACACCGCCTGGTTTCGGGAAGCATGCCGCGCTCCACTGTCCACGCATAAGAAGCCCCGGTCTACTCGCAGTCGGGGCAAAGATTGCTCTGTTTTGTTTGGCTTTCGCTGCCGACGACCATTGCCCTGTCCCACATCGGGACATATCGGGACCATGCAAATCCCGTGCGTGTTGTCCTCTGCACATTAGCTGCTTGCCACAGGAGGTGCAAGAAAGGAAAACGTACCTCAGTTCAACCCGAATTTGCTTGGTTGCCGTGGTTATTTGTGCTGCACTGCGTTGCCCTGTTTTATTGTGCAACTGTTTGCGCGATTTTAGGATTGCCTTTTTGTAAACAGTCAATCATGGAAGTGCATGGCAGGTAGTTCCAACACCCTCCTGTCCACTTCCATGATTGCTGGAACGGTACCAGTTGTTAACCTGCAGCCACAGAGAGGGAGTTGCACAAGTCGCTATGCAATTCAAGTCACGGTTCCCATGCAGGGACACAACCCGCAAACCACTACCCTCACGAGGAAACTGGGTTACCTCTGATTATACTGGCAGACGGTTTTTCCGATTGACCCCTAGGGGTAGCATTGATGCGTTCGTTTAGGTCAGTGCTCACAGGTCATGCCTTCAATTTGTTCCAACAGGACACCTCTGTTCAAGCAGTTTGAAACATCCTGTTGTGGGCATCACAAGTTTGAGCAAGGTCTCGGAGTTAGAAACAGTATCCCATCCCGACTGAGACGCAAGAGCAGGCGGGTTCTGTGCATTTGCTGCTTCCGGGAAATTTGGCATGCGCGGTCACCCCACCGGTCTTTTGCACCTCAAGCATGTTTCTGCCGTCTCGCTCTTGCCAATCGACCACCAGTGCAGAAACGCCTTCATTGACAATCACTACGAAGACAATGTCACTTGTCATTGTCACGTATGCTTGCTTTACACGTACTAGCCAACAACTATAGGCCCCTCTTGCGACGCATACCTGAAAGCGTGTGACATGTTGATGCTGCAAACAAAGCTGATGATTCATGGAGAACATTCAGTCAGTCTGCTTTCCAACCTTGCCCTTCACCTTCAATTGCGCGTCCAGGCATCCACAGCTGGAGAACAGGGAAACAGCCGAAGCAATCCAACACCGTTCTTGGTTGAGCAGAATTGCCAGACTAGTGGGCACAGGCAAGGCACCCTTTGACCAGCGGAAGCCGATTTTGATGAAAGTCTTGTCAATCAATCTCAGACGCGGGTATGAATTCGAATGGGGGAACCTTTGGAAAAAGGGCACACTTGTTTGCTGCTGCACGTAAACCATAATGGGTGAATGCGCCTCCCCCCCCCCCCCCCCCACCGCCAAAAAAACAAAGGAGTTTGCTTCTAGGATGTCGAGCTGCAATCAAGCCCAAACTGACGTCAACGTGATTGAGGCGCTCCAAATCAACCGCACTGCCAGACTCGCCAGACTCACCTTTGCGGAACATTGCATCTGCCATGTGGAACAATGAGGCAAGTTCCTCGGTGCAGTAGGGTGCACTCGATTAGTCACATGCAATTTGTTTGTCAGGTCGGTAGCAAGCATACGTTGCAGATAGTTGCCAGCATCAATGTCCCACTCTGGGTGATGTCTGAATTCATTCCAGCTTGTCATGCCTCAACCCGCATCGTGAACGAAATGTAAGAAGCTTCTGGCATACCTCCAAATCTCGCTCTCAGATGTCGACTCGCCGGGTTTGAGAGCCGACTCTGAGCCAAACGTGCGCGGCAACCATCAAAAGACTAGGCCCTAGCACGCTTTTATAGCGGCGCCAAAGATGGCGAAAGGGCTGAGGTTCAGTGAGTTGTCCTTTGGGTTGATGTGTTGGGGGGTCCTTTGTTACGTGGGCTCAACCTTGCACCTTCGCGATTCGAGCGAAGCCGGCAGCCGGCATGGCTTCCGATGGACAGGCCAGGGAGGTGTACAGAATGGCCACCCATGTTGAAGCTTGAGATGCCTTCATGCCTTCATGGCGCGAGCTTGGCTTTCATGTGGTCCAGTGACCAGCTTCCCACACCAGGCTCATGGTATCTACCCGCAGTTGATTCGGGCAAGATGGGCAAGTATGTTTCAACTTCTTCTCACGCGTTCAAAACTGGCCGCCAGTGTCATCACGGACTTGCCTCTTCATAAATTTGATCGTAAACTCGACAGGGAATTTTCGCTGTTTGAAAGGGACGCGATAGGTGTCCTGTTGAGCCTTAGGTCGAAAATAGAAGGCACTGGGCTTCAGTTTGTTGAAATAACCAGTCAACATGGTCACCAGGGGCTCATGTGGCGAAGGTAGCTGCTTTCGTGCAACATACTAAGTTCGGATTCATCCGGTGGATGCTCTAGGAAAGCCACCCTTATCACTATAGCAGAACCAAAGAACCAAACGAGGGGATCCTGGAAGACTCTTTCCCCCAAAGGCACTCTCTCAGAGTCTCATGACCTGGGCAAACAAGGCGAACACCCCGGTTTTGTCATGACCTCTAGAAGCAGTTTTGCAGATTCGAAGCTGACACTCAGCCCGCTTTCGTCCCTGAGGCCGGTCTTCGGGTTTCGGGCGCAACGGCGTTTCCTCGAGTCTCGCGTCTTGGTCTTGTGGCCTAAGCCGTGAATCTGGGAAGCTTGCTTGGATGAGTACCCCATGTCCCTGGTGAACAAGTTCCCTCGGAGGGTAATAAATGTGTAGGAGCAATGCGCAGGACCTATTGGCCGGGCATATGAAGCGTCCACTAAGTGGGCTGGTCATCCCAGTAGACAGTCCCAACCACAAGGTCCGGATATTTGCCTTTTTGATTTGGGCGAGCCCCTTGTCAGGCTTTGATTATGACACAGCTGGCTGGCTAGAACACCCCGACCCGTTTGGGGATTTTGGACCCTTCCTTGCAAGGCTTGGTATTGTAAGGTCGGTGTTGTGCATGCCAGCGACGCTGCCACGACAGCTTTATCGGCTTGTCTACGGCGACTGACTGATGTTTTTGGGGGTCCTGTTTCTTATGTATTCTGGTTGGCAACGCGCAACGTAAGGGCCTGAATAATGTTATTATCGTGTCATTACGACTGCTAAAACATATTGTATCGGTCTTAAGCACCCCACCACCTTGGAGGTTGGGGGCTGATTTCCCTTTTGGTTCGATCGACTGGGGGTTGGAATCCACCAACCAATCCAATATGCCAACTGGGGGGTAAGGCGCGACTCCAGGCTTAGTGGGAACTGGGGAATAGTAGTTCAGGAGAAGCACCCTTAAGTGTCATGGGCTTGATATGATATCCATGTGAACAGCCTTTCCTTTGGCGTTTGAAAGCCTGTGCTGACAGCCGCAGATCAGTCGATCGGACCCCTACTTGGATGACCCAGTAAATGTATATTTTACTCAAGCACTTCCTATGTGGCCCAAGGGGTCCAGGTAGCCAACCATCCAAGGGTACTTGGACCCGTATGGGGGTCCAAGGAGGGCGCTCCGGTCATGTTTCTATTCACTCTCGTTCCCCCGCAGGTGCGCACGAAAAAGGCAGAGTTCGAGTCCCTGGGAGAAGATGCCTGGTGGATGCACGAGGCGCGGAAGGTCGCCGTGGCTCGGAGGAGCAGAAATTCAAAAGAAAAGTCTTGGGGTGGAAGGAGGAACAATACCCAATCGTCCCTTTGAAAGGCAAATGGTCTTCCAGGACCCCCCTGTCAGGTTCCATGTGAATTGGTGGGAGGGTTATTCGTAATCTTGATAGTCGGAACCCGGGATGCAATAAACAACCAGTTGATTGGTGGGAGTGGTGTCCGTGTGCCATTTTCAAGGCATCATCTTTCGCTTGGGAAGCGAACCAAATCCATCAGCTTCTTTTCTCCAGCGTGATTGGAGTTTTGGATCCTCTTGGTGGGGCGAGTTTATTTGGTCAACGTTGAACCCTCCTATGCGGGCTTTTCCTCCAAAACCACAAGGTGAGGCACAATTCTGCACGCCCTTATTAAACACGGATGCCTTCATAGAATCCAACAGCCCTCCTGCCAGAAGTACCACCTCAATATGTCTTCGTCGGGTGTCAAAACATTGGGGGAGTCAGGGGAGCAGGTTGGAACGAAGTGATGCGGAGTGAAATCAGTGGGATCAATATTATCATTTAGGGTTTTCCGCCCCAGAAAAAGAAGGCAGAGACGGAGGCAGAGACAGAGTTTACTGTCCTCTTTCCCAGGTCCCCTATGTGTTCCAAAAGGCGGGTTGAGTCCAACGCCAGAAGCTCCACATTCTATTTGCGCGGAGTTTCTTAGGCCCAGAATGGCCTTTCCTCATACCCTGCTTCCAAAGCTGGCCACAAACAGACCGGTTTCCTGAAGGTGTGGAGTCCTGAATCTGCAAAGTTTGGAGGTCCGGAAACAGCAGCGCCCAAAATTTGTTGATTGCCAGTTCCCCCCAAATAATAAGCCTGAATGACCATTTGGGTAGAACCTAAGTTTACATGCTGTTGGACGTTGCTCTATTGAAAGTCTGAGACCTTGCTGCCCAACAATGAGAACTCTCGGTGACCTCGAGCTGCATCAGACTGAGTCGGATAAAGTATGCAGCATATGCAAGCATATATGCTTGTTGGCTGCTTCATTCGCCCTCTTCAATTTTATCCGGTCTTCAACCATGCTTCCAACTGTTTGGTTCACTGGGGATGTCTTCGGAGGAGTTGCATTTTTTGCTTTCCTCTGCGACGCGGGGCCGGGGCGGGGGGGGGGGGGGGGGACGGACAGACAGTCCGCGCGTGAGGCCTGCATGGAGGAGGTGGATCATGAGGACTACTACAAAGGCGACGAAGACGAGGCAATCTGCCGGCTCGTGGCAACGAAACTGGTCCTGAGAGCATGAATCGCAGGAAAGCCGCTGATTTCGGCAAAAGGGGCGCTGGTAATCCCGGAACCTGGTGTTTGGACCTTCATTTGATGGTGTTTACTTAAGCACGGTATACTCCTATGCTAGCAGGCTTTGATTGACTTCTGTGAGCAGGGCTCATGATTCACCCGAAGTGCCTGAACCTACTGTATCCCATGCAACGAGACCATTGTCCACTCAAGTTGCATAATTACAAATCCAAAGCTAAGGTGTGCCCGATTGATCTTGCGACACATTTCAGGCCTCGTGTTCCGGTCTGATCGCCAGGCTGCTTTTGCCTGGGAGTGAAGCGATGACCCGGAATAGTTTCCTCGGATTGAGAAGCCATGTCGCAACTATGGTCCAAGTGCCAGTTATCGAGGTTTGTTGGCGGAAAAACATATGATTCGTACATGTGCTTGGAGTGTTGATAAACCGCTAGGGTCGCGGAGCCAACCTGAGAGCATGGAGTATGGAGTCTCAAATCCGGCGAAACCGATGTTGATTTCAATGGAGCTTTCTGGTGCTCGCAGACCGGCGCCGAAAAAGGTGTCCTGTTGCGTCAGTGACCATTGTTTTCAGTGGCGCCCTTTTTTCCTTTGGTGAGTTCCACTACAAATATGGGTCTGTCTTTCTTGAGGGTACTCGTTTTGGAGTGGTTTTGAAGGGAAGAAAGACAGACCCATACTGAGCTTATTTTTAGCCCACAGCAGAACAAAGCGCACAAGGGTCGTGCGTACTGGCTCATCCAAGGGGAAACATGTGCCCCAACCACATGTTCCTTTTGAAACTGGGGATACAAGGCGTATGGGGCAAGTACCCAAACGGCACGTGCTTCTTCTCCGATGCCGAAGCGTATTGAAAGGCAACGGCACCCAGCACGCTGTGACATCTGTGACTGGCTTCAGGTGCTGGCAACCATAAGACCGGCAGACCTGGTACTTGCAAAACACAGAAGCAGATCTCGTCAGTTTGTGAAGGGCAGCTGTTAAGGGCAGCTTGGAAAGGGACACCAAAGGGAGCCTCAAATAGACACACACACACACACGCGGGAAGAAGCCAGCCGTATCTCGCTAGAGCGATCAAGTCCTTCGACATAGTTCGGGCCGGGCCTCCCCGCACCAAAAGAGCTGGCCAGAGATACAGCTTAGTCAGGCTTATTGCATGACCACTTCGCCTTTCACTTTCTGGCGAGTCTGGGACAACTTGGAAACTTCCTCAACCCTGCATGATTTAACTCAATCCGAAGCTGCCTCCAGCAGCATGTCGGCTCCCTTGCTGGGAGTGACCACCAAGGACTCAGCGGATTCATACGGATGGCTCGGGTGAACCCCCCCTGCAAGGCACCCAGCTCGTCAGTAGTGATTTGGCTGGTGGTAGTTGTTTGACATTCTGTGGTTCGGAACTGTGGAGAAACATGCAGATACAGAACGGTGACTGCATGTTCCTGCAAACTGCGCGAAGAGACACAACCTATTGCGCACGCTCCAATGGGTTTGCAATCCGATTTCAAGCATGTAGCAAGTAGAAAGAAGAGGATCACGAGAACCCTCAAAGACACCACCCAACAATCCATGGCCTTTTTGAGATTGTGTCCCCTATCCCCAAACTGCTCCCCTCAAGGGAGAATCGACATAGCCGCTATACATAAGTTGAGAGTGTGCACATCAAACAACCCCCCCCCATGTTTCATGTCAACTCCTCCCAGACGGAACAGGTAGGGATTTCCTTTTGTGGGAAGTTCTTGGAACTCATTGTTGGCGGAGTTGATGCTGATTATGGAATTTGCCCACAAGGAAACCAACAGGAGATGGCCAGTTGTTTATTTTTTTCCGGACCACCTGATGGTTTATCTCGGGGTCATTCCATGTCTCATTCCCTGCCGCGCCCAGGTCAAAGTTGCGATGGATTGTCTTCAAATAGGGTACCCAACAAAATGGGTGGTGTCGCTTTGGTTTTCCCTTAAGCTAAGCCCCACGCAGTAGCCTCCAAAGCCAAGGGCCGATTTGCTCGCCAGGAGCACTGCTTCGAGGCCCAGTTCCACCCGTCCAGGTCCTTGCTGGCAGCCGCCACCATCTCCGGAGAGGAGGGGCCAAGGGTTCGCAACTTGCGATCGCTGCGATAGGTAGACCGCTGCATCTTCCTTGGGGGTTCTGGGAACGAAGCGGTAGACCATAGGGGATGGTTCAGGTCATTTCATGCCCTCCGTGTTGGTCGGTATTTGAAGAACAGAAGGAACGCTGATGCCATTTTGGGGGGACCGACTATATCCGACTATTTTTGAGAAGCACGGCAGCTGCTTGACTGGACTTCATACTTTTCGGGACCATTTTAGTTTGCCGGAGCCAAAGGTGACATGCAGCTTGGGATTGGGACCCGCAACAGTGAGCAGAAACTCTTACACCACTCGGAGATGACAGCTTGATTTGTTTCTTTTGGACACTTGTCCACTACGGTGCACTCGGTTCGTGGCGGGCTTCTTTCAGGGTGTGAGCAGCGTTTGTTTGTTTGAAAAACCTTGGTGGCTGCGCTGTTTGTGTTCCAACAAATGCTTGCACCGGCCATCTGTGCGTGTGGACTGTAAGAGACTTGCTGGCAGTTGCCGTTGACCGTTACCCTTACTAGACTCACGCCCAGATCAAACAAACCTTATTCCATTGTGAAACAATTGCCTCAAGCCTCAAGCACTGCATTTGAGTGGAATTTTATGGTTGTTTCTTTCTTCCAGCTCCATGCAACCGCCAAAACCCGTGAGATCCGTTCGGCCGGCCCCGCCGCAGGTCGAGCTGCACAGCTTCGACTTGGAGAACAGCCGGGGGCCCAGAAGCGTTCGGCGCGAATCACTTCATGTGATGACCCCATTCAAGTGGCTGATATTCCAAAATGCAAGTCCCCTAAGTGGCTTGTAGGGTTTTCTCCCACAGGTGTTTGCATCCTACCAAGATGCAAGTTCACAGATTGCCAGAGGGCAGTGATCTTTCAAACGGAGCGGTGGCAGTTCCAAGCTGTGTTTCGGAGTTTGTGGGTTTCAGAATAGTTCTATCAATAGATGTCCCCTTGGCACTTTGTTTTGAAATGGGTGCCTGTTTTGCTTTTTGCCTCGGCGGCCTCGACCTTTTGCAGAGCTATCCGTATTCTTGTGGGTCTTGGGTTTCAATGAGTCCTGAGAACATGGCGCCAGTTCACTTTCCCCGGGGCGCCGGCCGGGATCCTGGCACGGCAAATTTGATGCATAGACTATGAACGTGGATGATTGAGCAACCTGAGGATTTGGAGTCAAGCTGCAGATTCTCACAGCTTCAGAGACCGTTTAGATGACTCGAATTGAAACAGTTGTTCGGCTGTTGGTTTTGTAGACTGGTTTGACCCCATGCTCAATTTCTTAGTCAGACGTTTGTTCAAAACAGCCGCTTTAGCCGTTTTGGTTTTCCAATCTTGATCAACTCTTGTCATTGATCAAACTCTCTTTCCAGGATAATTGGCAACCGACTCGGACTTCAAGCTGCACTTGGGTTCGTCTCCCAAGGCCAGGAAGAGACAGTTTCGACTCTTGCCAGTGCGGGCTCTCAGTGGCCTTCAACATGGCAGCTGACAGGAAGGTTTCGGACTGTGCGCTCGAGTTAGTCCTGTCCGATTTCATGATTGTTTGAAAAGAGGATAGGCCTGCAGGAATTGAATATTTAGATCAGTCCGTGTGGTTGAAATGCATTGCAGATGCATGGGTATGAGCACGCAAAGCAGTGTTGGTGTAGGCGTTTGTTTTGTTTTTAACCCCACCTCAGTTTTTGTCGGACTCCCCAACAAACGAGGTCATGTGGCTGGACGGGAGTTGCTGAGCAATGTGATGCCTGGGCAGTTTTCCAAGCAAAGAGCCTAGAACCGTCACAAACAGCTAGCCTGGAAAAAATGGTGATTTGTACAGACACTCACTGCTAGTGACCACATCAAGTTGCACTAAGCTGCTTTTGATCTCAAACCCTCAGACATCTAGACACAGTATCAAATACAACAGCACACGCTTGGACTTGGCTAGGTCTGAAGCACATACCAAAGAATGGCGTCCCGACAAGAGCAGCCAGCTCACTGGAGATCTATGTCTCCACCACATCCAAGGAAGGGAAACTGTGATCACCAGAGAAACACGTGTGTCCCCGTTGACCGCGCGGAAGCTTGCTCATGGGGGAAACATTTGTCCCGTTGAGTGCATGTCACCTCAATCCCCCTATGGAAGTCGCATTCCGAACCAGGAGATTCATCTGATTTTGCATTTGATACATTTCAGCTACTTGGAGAGTTTCGAGTGCCAGTCTCCTTTCCCTTCACGTTTAACCCGTCTATGGTTAGTTCATTGATTTCCTTGATGTATTCAGTTGGCTGTTTGGTTTGTTAGTTTTAACGCTTTGCCTGGCCTCATCCAATTCAGTTTGTTTCTCTTCCCCGCAACGGCATCTTTGACAGTTGATGCCTTGAGCCCGGCCAGACATCTCCGCGTCGCTTGCGCCGCCCGAGGTCACAAGTGCTCCTGTCGCTGCGCGAAGTTTCTGCCCCGTTCTCGGTGCGAAGCGCAGAGTGCGCGAGCCCCGTTCACAAAGAGACACTTACAGGATTGCGACTTCATCAATGATTGTTTTTGCTTCAGGCTCGTCAAGTAGTTGTACCGCATGAGTGCCCGAAACATATATGTATATATACCAACTGTACTTATAGCGCACGCTGCTCGCAGACATCGCAAAGTGAGATGGTGCACACGGACGGCACAATAGATATCATGATTGCACTGGCTATCAGGATTTGTGCCCAGCAGTCCTGTGCATCGGCACTTCTAGATACTTCTGAGAATTGTGGAGCTTGCTGCTAGTTGTGCAGTTGTCATGGTATCAAAATGGTGCTTGGGAGAAAGAGACTTGCAGAAGCACTTCCTGGCGGAATATGTTATACTGTTTATTTATTTTTCCTGGAAAGATTGCAGAAGTCCAAGTAGAGTTGATCACTCGGTAATTTCTATGTTTGCCTTGGCCCAAAAACACCACAGGCCCAAACAATGAGCATCTGAACTTGACAGGCGCTTGGCAGTTTTGTTTCTCATCCGAGTTGTTGAATCTTGGGGGCAGCATAGGTTTTCCCGCAGCTCCGCCCCAAAACTTGTTTTCAGGTTAAATTTTTGCCTGCACGTTTTTTACATGAGGTCACTGAAATTGAGGGGTCCCACAGCTTGTTACAGGACACCCAGGTGCCGAGTTATGATGGTACCTTCTTAGGATTTTAAAGGGAAACCAAAAGAAAGCTACCCTAAGCCTTGCTGTTTCTGG